AAATACACTGTAATTAATTATCACCGACGAGTTTCGGCGAGGAATCGAACCAATTCTGTATATCGGGTAGTCCAAAGCGTTAGCCAATTTTTGTCGACTTTAGCATAGAGCTATAGTGTAGAACAAAAAGTTGAGTAATAAACCAATTATATTCACAGACACCGCGTCTGTAAAATTCTCTCTCTCTCTCCCTCTCCATATTCGAAAATATATCAAGAAAGCTCTATATGCATCATATCGTCAAAAAATTATTTTTTCTAATAATTATTCTTCTTTACTTTCCCATAAACACAGACATTATTCTGTAAAACTAGTGTAAAAAATTATAATATGTGGAATAAAAAGAAGGGAATAATATAAATTTCAGATATATATTCATTTATTTAAAGAGACATTTTCCTTTGACAGTCAACACGTTTGAGAGTTTCCGAAGTTGTATTATTACAAATTGTGGCCTTACTTTCTTTTTAGACCAGAGTAGAGATTTCATGTTACATGCCGATAGATTTCAAATTAGTTACACTAAAATGTATGAAATAAATCTTGAATAAAATGTACTAAGGAAAAGAGAAGAACGTGTTCTATCCGAAAATATGAAAACATTTTAGAAAAATTTCAAACATTAAGTGATACCTAAAAATATTTCCAACGCACGGACGATAAATTATCGTGTATCAAGGTCATTTAACAAACCTCATAACACGAGAGATTCGGAACTTTTATTACATTATAAATGCACAAAATCATCTTAAAAATATTCATATATATGTAAATACATATATTATATATGGGCGTAATCAAGAAAACGACAGATTTTATTACAGTATGATAGAGGATGAAGTAGAGAGTGCTACGCGTTGATCGGGATATTCTGATATATATTCTACATATCTGACTACTTTCTACCTTCTTCCTTATCTTTTTTTATTCTTTTTCTCTTTATTTCCTATCTCTTTCTTTAACTTAAATGCTAAGTGCAATGCGCTAATGAACTGCTCAACTACTTCCCGCGATTATGCACAAAATACGCACGCATCTGCAGCGTTGTTAATCCAATTAAAAGATATATCAATTAATCACAGATCGGATATGCTTCTTATAAACTTCTTCAAACATCTACGAAAAAATTAATATTTAGGTTATAAGAACGAAAAATACATTAACTCCAACGAAATAAATTCTTGTATTATGTTATTTATGTAATAAAATGTGCAGTTACGGTTTCTGCTATAAAGATATTTTACAAGAGATAACCCAAATCTAATAAATTATATTTAATTATAAATTAAATTTTATTAATAATTTTTTATCGCCCCGCAAATGCATTATGTGTACCTTCATGGTTCATGATTTTGAAAGAAAAAATATTTTGCTTTCAATGAATTTCTCTTATCTCCCCTTGTCGAAAAAATAATTCGTTATTTTATGCACAACGAAATATTAATGTGCAGCAAGTAAATAATATTAACATTAGAGATCTATATGACTATATTAATCATTCTGATTTTTTTCCGTTAATAAACCTTCGATTTTCATTTGCAGAATAATTCAATGAAATTTCTGGATTTTTCCATTCAAAATCGCGATAGATACGCATACTTGCGCATCGATTTCTTCAAAATCTCATATCAACAAAAACATATTCTTAGCTCTTATCTTTCGAAAGATCGAAAAGGTAATATCTAAAATGAGAGATCAAGAAAGAGAAACAGAAAAAAACGACAGTTCAAAGGAAGATGACAGAAAAGGAAAGAGACAGAGATCAACAATTACTACAAAAACTAACATCGCATCATTTCTATTAAGAAAAAAAGGTTATAAAATCGTTCTGTTACATATTTCTCATTAATAAATTTATCACTTTATCGTCAAATCAATCCTTGGTTACACAGAAACAAAAGTAAATACAAATATATTGCTCCTTTTATTATCAAAGAGAAAACATTTTTTATATTATATTTATATAAAAATAAAAAATACGTACATACTTTCATAAATTCGTATTTGTTCATTAAATAAATGTCGCATCTATAGCAGATAAAATAATACTCATTCAAGTTTAATTCTATAAATATACAAAATAAAAATTTCTCAAATAATGATTTTATGATATTTTTTCGAATATTATGTTTAAAATTAAATATTGATAGATAATAGCTTATTTTTCCAATCTTATTAATAATCGATTTTTTTTTCAATCGGATATGGATTTATTATTATTGGATAGAATATTCTTAATGCTAAGAAAGATAAAAACAAAATCCTTTTTGCAAAACTGTAATTCTACTCCATACTTATTAGGATTTTTAGCTTAATATTGCACTCTCTTTCTCTCTCTTTCTCTCTCGTAGGTATATGTATTAACGACTGCAACTTATCAGCTATTCTTATAATGCCTCTCAGTGCCTTCTTATAACGCCTGGATCAGGCTGAAAAACTCTACAAGAAAGTACCACAAATGTGACAATGAGAGATTCATTGGATAGACGCACATAGAAAGGAAAAGGAAGCGACAGCCTCCTTTTCATGAATTTCACTCTCTTTTCTTAGTACAAAAATAGATTTCGGGCACAGATCGCGCAGCCCCTAATATTTTAAATCTGTGTGTTAATAAAATAACCAAATTTAATATCGTTATTCTATCGCAAAAATAATATCGGGTTTTCGTGACTGTGGGTGTGAAATTGGTACATTTCTCATATTGACGGATGCAGAAATTTTTTATTACGTTTCTCAGAATTATAATATCGTAGATCAACAAAAAATTGCATTATCGTAACATCCGAAGATGTGAACGAATGCGGCGAACGCAGAATGTGCAAAGAGCTAGTATGCCAACTATCACATTGACTTACAGTAATATAATCGTATATAATACAACAATGTAAATTATAATTAGCTAATTATAATTAGCAAAGTACATACTATGAGAGAACAATGATTCTGATTTCAACTGGTAAATTTTTTACGATATTTTGAAATTATGCCGGACAACCGACGCAAAAATGAGACATAATTTCGCGGCGAGACTGCGCGAAGTCGCCCGATCGAAGAACAAGAATCGCCCGTTGAAAAAAAGGGGGCGAGAACTACATTAAATCTTTTATTATCTCGGAACACGCTCAATAATAACCGATAGTTTCAAGTTGTAAAGAAACGTGAACTCGTATCCTTTTACTGTAATGACGGTTTTAATGACGCCTATAAAAGCGTATTCTTACTGCGACGAAATATGACATATTTTTCAATGTAAAATATTGGAAAAGAAATCTCATTAATCGAATGCTCTTTCGCGATTCCTCTGCATTAAGAATATTGCACGGCGGGTAATTCCCGTCATAATTAAATTATGACGTTCAATCGGGACGACGATTCTGGAAATTCACTATTTACGTAAGAAGACGAACAAGGAGACGAGAAAGAGGATACGAGCTCGTCCTTGAATCTGTAGTTTTATACATATATCGCAACTCAACGAGCTGTTTTTCTACCGATTATTTGCGTTGTAAGAACTTATGAAGAATAAAGAAAATATGATTATTTTGTCGCTATATAGATCCTCGAAGCGTAGGAAAGTTTTGTTATTATCTTTTTGCTTTGATATCGTAATCCGTCATAGTCACATCAATTGCAAGTGCATTATACGAATAAGATCGAAAGAGTCGCTCGTCAAGTTGCCAATATCGAGTATAAAAACAAAGGAAAAGCTCGCGTAGAGCTCGTCGACTACGTCTATATTAATTACGTGTGTATTAATTGATAATAAATATTAATCTTGCTATTGACCGTCGGTACGCGCGTGTACCACGATCATCGAAACGAAAAAAAAAAAAAAACATAGGATCGAGAAGAAAAACATCGCGTGAGTATGTCTCATGTATTCATATATTCGCTTGTACTAATTATAAGTTTCCTTAAGCTTCTTTCGACGATCGTGTCCTCCTCGACAAGACGAATCGGAAAATTTCGATGAGAGGAGGCACCCCCGAGTAATTATAAAGATGCGCGAAGAAAGCGCTAAGTGGATCAAGGCACTGTCCTTGATCCTTTCGATTGTCAGACAATGCAAAATATTAATTATTTACGCGCAAACATTTTCTTCTACATATAAAGATTTACTTTCAGGAAAGAAAATTTCAGAACGTAATGATATACGTTACGTAAAATGATAAAATCTGTTCAAGCATGCGACAAGAAACTTTATGTAAAGTGTTACGAGTTAATCGCATAATCCTAGCATATCTCATCTCACGTCAAACATTATCGTATCGAATAATATCGTGTACGGCATATTACATCAGCGAGGAGTGCATAAAACATTATACGCCAACGCGTGCTGACGTTCATATTGTCAATTCTCCTCGCATAAACGCGAACTATTGTGTCATATAATTCCACTTCTGTATTATTCGACGCGGCGATCGCTTATTATCGGTATCGGGCCAGGATCGACTCAGCGCCTCGACTCGCATCAAGAAACGTTCCATCATTACTTACTGATATAATGTATATATGTATATTATGAGTTTATCGAGCATGATACCCCTGTAATCGTATCTGCGCTCCCATCGAAGAAATGGAGAAAAACTAGAAAAGACATTTCAGACTCATGTCTTCGCAACGAATGAAGGAGAAAGGAAAAAGTATAGCCATACATGGCTTGTGTTTTACGTGAGTATGAGTGTATGTATGTGAGTGTACTTTTATACGTTTACATGTATGTGTGTGTCAATATGAGAGTTGACCTCGACGTAGTACTAATAAATTCTTTACCCGTCGTGAGTCCAGAGAATCTAAGGACCCAGCTCTAAAGATCCGCTACTTAAGAAGATTAAACCGACGAGAAGTGCAACATTAACGAAATATTGATAGAAATTTATAATGTATAATATATATTATTTATATGTATATATTTATATGTAATATATGACATAATGACTTCGTATATATATATATATTATGTATATGTATATATAATCATATATTCATCCATTCGTCCAATATATATATTATATATACTCTGGAAGGCGACAGTAGAGAAACTACTGAAGTAAATGCATAATAATATACGCAAAGAAAGAAGACATCGATTTTGAAAATTTCCTCTTGTCGGTTTCATATCACTTTTTCTTTATTTCTTTTTTACGGAGAAAACGCATTTCTTTTCCGCGCTATTTCTCCGTTCGTCAGCTTCGTCTTTTCCTTGCGACAACTATTTAGATTCGTTCAATGAATCCCAATCATCTACGCCATGTTCTTTTCTCTTTTTTATATCCTTTACAGCATAAATAACGCAATACACGGTCAGTAATCGCTTCGAAATACATCGAAGAATATCGTGTAAATTCAATGAGATTCAAAAATAATAGAGTTTTAGGGTTTCGTTTTTGTCATGAAAACACTATAGCAATATTCAAAGATAGGGAGATAGAGAAAGAAAGAGAAAGAAATTCATAGAGAGTGATAGAAAGAGAAAGATGAGAAAGAGAGTCTTGAGTGATGAAAAGGAGGATAAATGACGAGGAATGAAGTGAAGAATGGGTATATGTCTAAGAAAAAAATATTTGCTTAAACATGTTGCACAAACTCTGGATTGAGATATGAGAAACCCATAAATTCCGTCTGGTCCAAATTCATCATGAATAGCTTATCCGTAGGTGTCAGATCTGTCTTCTCCGAGGTGAATTGCTTGTCGAAATTACTCACATCCTTGCGATGTTGCTGTGAAAACAAGAATAAGTCGTTTTACTTACTTTTCAAAAATATCTACAACAAAAATACTTACAATTTTTGGCTTAAAGGGTGGCTGCACCTCGCGATTTTCTATCTTCTCCCAATCGATACGCCGGAAAAATGCATGGCTTCGCACATCGTCCTCGCCGCGCATTCCACATCCTAATCTCTTGCTCGGATTCTTTGTGAGGAACTGCAATAAACGAATTTTATGCGTAAGCAGAAAATTTTTAATCAGCTGAACATATTATCCCGTTAGAAATTTTTAATGTCATATATCAATTTTTAGAATTATTCACAAAAATCTATATACTGAGAGAATACTTAATATGATTATCCCAAAAAATGATTATAAATTACAGTTAAATTATAATAATTGCCACCATTTTTGTAGTAATAATAACTATAATTATAGTCATTTTTTAGTTGCCAAATATATTTGTTTCTAGAATTATACATAGTTATTATTATTATTATTAACATTACCTAATAATAATCATAAATATAGGTAGTAACATATAATTATAGTTACAAATACCAAAAATTTTTGTCAATGTAAAATTTATATCAAAATTTATATCAAAATGTTGACAGAAACGTCATATAATTATTCAATAATGAAATTTAAGAAACTGTTTTCTTAATATTTCTACTAAAGGAAAATCTATCTTAAGTTTTTTAAAAAATCCTTACGAATTAATATATTTAAATAAATTTAAGTCTCTCTATATAGTACAAGTGTCTAAGGCCCGGTTGTTCCAATATTTTACCTGTTGGGTAAGTAGCAAGATTATCCAATCATATGCGCGGATTACCAGATTTATCTAACAGGTAAAATTTACCAAAAGGTGGAACAACTGGCTACTATATGTATTTAAATTCCAGGAAGCTGTAAAGATAATAGGACTATAGAATATACAGGACTATAGAAAACACGCGTACCGCTTTACAAACTTCTTTGGCTTCTTTAGACAGACTCTTCGGGTAACTGACGTTGTGGTCCGTAATCGCAGAAAAAAGTTCATCTTCATCCTCGCCGTCAAACGGTGGCTGACCTACTAACATCTCGTAGAGTAATACACCGTAAGCCCACCAGTCCACAGATTTCCCGTAAGGTTGGTATAGGATAATCTGCGCAAAGATAAGAAACTCTAACAGATAAGACGGTACTAAAGTTGCAGCTTTACTTATTAAATATACCAGAATTGACAAAAACATACAACGCATTTCTTGCGATATTTAAAATAAATTTTATGATAAAGTAGTAAGAGTTTTGTGCTATTATAATTTTTCAAAAATAAATGATTTCTGGTAAAGTTTCAATAGCAAAAATAAGTAACATAGATATCTATCGTTCAATTTTAAATTGATTGTGCAAGAATAGAAAACTTTAATTTGAGACTTAGAGAGTTACTTAGGTACAGAATGTTGAAATTACAAAAGTTGTGAGAGAAGATTATTTTCCTGCATATTTCTGTCAAGGAAAAATTGATTTTAAATTTCGTAAGAAACGACGTTACGTATCTATCATCCACGTGCCAATACTTTGCAACATCTTGTCTATGCAAGATCTGTTTAAACATTCACCTCGGGCGCTATGTAATCAGGTGTGCCGCAGAAAGTCTTGGTAGTCTTGTCACCGGTGATGCCTTCCTTACACATACCGAAGTCCGCAATTTTTATATGACCGTCCTGATCCAATAAGACATTGTCGAGCTTGAGGTCGCGGTAGACGATGCCACGCGAGTGCAAGAAGAACAAACCGATCGCTATTTCAGATGAGTAAAATCTGTAAATGTGGAGAGCAGGACGTGAAATGCAAGGTCGATACTCGTATAAATCAATCACAATCAATCGCAGCTCTAATTGTAAGAATGAAAAACTGCAAAACACTGCGCGGAACGCTGTGACTTCGGAATAAAATAATCGCGACATTACAGCCGTGATTAACGAGTAAAAATTAAGGTCACGACGATGATGATGACGAGGCGAAGTACGCGCGTATCCCCGTCTCGTCCGCCTCGACGAGATACATCTCCCGGGTACAATCGGTTTTCATTTCGTATTCGGAACGTGTTGAGAAAGTTCGACAACGTGAATCGCTCGAGAGTTCCCGTCCTCGGCGTTTCCACGTCGTCGTCGTCTCTCACGGCGCTTTAATAGAGTTAAGGATATCGATCCATAAGTTAAAGCGGAGCATGTTCATGAACACTAAAATACTCACACTGCCACCGGCTCTTTAAATTTGCCACACTGCTGTATTTGGTACATCAGATCGCCGCCGTTCACGTATTCCATCACGAAGTACAGGCGATCCTGCGGCGGAAAGCAGAAAGCGGATCTTTGTAAGCCGCAAGCAAGTGTTTCAGTTAATCTTTCATTGCGTTTTGCATCGTTCATACAAGCTTGTATGCTCTTTTACTGTTCCTCGTCGGAGAAATTTTAATAGAAAATTTAACAAGAGCGTATTATTCCATTTCGATAACGTTTAAATCAAACTTTGAAAAAATGAATGAATAAGAGAGTTCTATTATTTCGTAATATAAAATAAATTTTGAAATTTTCATAATTTTAAATTAATGGAGTCTTCGTAATTTTTTAAATTATTTTAAGTACTTTAATATTTTTTCTAAAAATTATATGATAGAAAAATTTTAGATGTGTATAAAAGATAAAAATGAATAAATTAAACGGTTGTACGTACAATTTATATAATATTTATCTAATTAAGTAACTAATTCTAAATCATATTCAATAACCGTAAAATCGTAACTGTTCAATTGTGTGTAAAGAGTGTATGTAATTTTCGGACGAGCAAAGAAGTATTGTATGTACCATCGTCTGAAAACAAGAATGCAATTGCACCAAGAAAGGTGGTTTGCTCGAGAGCGCGAGTACACGTTTCTCGACCATTGTGCATTCCACATCGTCGTCCTGTATAATGATGTCCTTCTTCAAGATTTTGATGGCGTACAGCTCATCGGTCCCCTTTCTCTCCGCCAGTAAGACCTTGAATTAATTGATTCCGTCGAGATGCAGTCGCTTGCAAGGTAAAGCAGTCATTTCTCATGATTATTAAAACTTACCTTTCCAAAACTGCCTTTGCCAAGTACCATTAAGAAATTGAAGTCACTAGCTCGAATTAGATCGCTCTTGCCCATGTTGTGCGGCACATCTTTATCCTGGGTAGTGTGTGTCTTTTTCGTTACCGAAGTTTTCTGAATAAAATTTGCACAAAACTCGCGTATAACTCATGTTAGAACTGAGCAATCGTTATTTAAAGTACAAAATAAGAAGTAACATTTCAAATAACACTTCAGATATTATTTAAAAGCATCTATTTAGTCACCTGTTAACTTTATTGAAAAAAATATAGCCATTTTAATTAAACAAATTATTTCAAAATAATTTTTCATTAATGTAATTCTTTTGTATCAAGCGATGAGTGATGTACTAATTTTGTATTTTAAAAATAAATTGCAAATCATACATCGCTAAATAAATACCCGCATTTTTGTTTTAAGTTCGGCAAGATCGACGCCTTCCTCAGGAACAGGTACATTGTAGAACTCTCCCTCTTCTTGAGTAAGGAGCTTGTACCACCCACTTGAAGGTGCTTTAATAAGCTCCGATATGCCAAAAGATAGGGATCCCATAAAATCGTTTCTGGATGTTCGATCCCAATCCCATACCTCAATCAACAGCCGTCTATCTTTATCCTCGGGTTTGAGGTCGCTAATAGTAAAAGTCAGATCGCTAAGCGTTTTGTTTTATAAAATAATATATATATATATAATTCTTGCAATCTCCCCTAATTCAATCAAGATTTGCTCTTCCTACTTTGACGAACTTGTGATTTGTGGCTATTATGTACAGTATTAGCGTATTAGCATTATAATGTAAATATGACGGTAACGTATCTATCATTTTATATTATGTAATGCTCAAGTTCGTGAAGTTTAATTGGAAAGAAATATCTCGAAATGAAACTTCATAAATTAGGAAAACTTTTTATATAATTCTCAAAAATAAAGATCTAATTGTTCGGTGCAATTAATGAAACGACTTACAAGATGATTGTCTCGTTCCATTCTGGATTTAAGCACGACTTGATTGTCTTTGTTTTCTTCTTCACGTTGTCCGAATCCGGGATTAGCTTCAGCTTAACGTAGGGATCCGACAACCCATTTGGATCCATCGGAATGAGATTTCGTCCCTCTCGCACTGCGAATTAATACATCGAGGTTTTTCGGAAAGAATTCAGGAAGAGGTACTTCCGGAGCACGCACTCATCCGAAAAATTATTTCATGCACTCACAGAGAAAAAAGTCGTATCAGAGAGTAACTATAAATTTGTAGTGAAATAGCGCCTCACACACACACACACACACAACTATATAAATATTATTAAATTCTAATAAGAATACTAGATTAAGTGAACTAAGAAAATATAATACATTAACCATATAATCAATTTATAAATGATTAATATTACTATATTTTCTTAGTTCACTTAATTTACTTATTGTTGTTATTAAAGCTTTATAATAACATAGTTACAAATTTGTGTATGCATTTCTTATTTATTTTTGTCTTCCAAGTTTGAAACCAACGTTGCGCTTTTTATCGTAAGCTGAGTGGTTTCCTTCTTAGGAGAAACTGAACTCCGCTACGTCCCTCTGGTGACAAAGCCGCGTACTACTCGGACTGAGCGACACTTTAAAAATTTTTGTCTAAACTAGAAAAATATAATTGTTATATCTATTTGCATGAAGTCCAAGTAACTACTCAATGTAGTTGAGTCACTATTTCACTACCAATTAATAGTGCATACAATTTGTTACCGCGACTATATTTTTATAATATTTACTACTTTAGTTTCTATTACTTTGTAAAAGGTACTTCAATTGCAAAAGTTGCCAAATTTATAGTTGCTAGAACTATTTCGTTTTCTCTCAGTGTGTATAGAGTATTTTGGAAAATGAAAATGTCACATTTTCCGATTGTTAAAAAAATTCTCGTAAACATTATATATCGCAAACAAAATGCATTAAAAATTATCAAATATCAGTTATAAACTTTGAGTCACATATGATTTATTATCTTTAGTATCATTCTTTTTTATCATCATACGTAATATTTATGTATTTTTAAATTTAATTCTTAATATAGTGTTCTCAACCTATTTAAAATTAGACACATACTTAAATAAAGAAAAATCTTTTTACTTCTTATTAAACTTCATTTTTTAAACACCTTACATCCATCTTCCTAAAATTGCCCGAAAGTCATTAATATAATCTCTACTATATTTTACGTCAAACATGCGTCTGACATTTTACGATATATAATTAATAATCTACTGGCTGGAGGTGAAACGTGGCTAAGAAGAATGTGATTAAGGAGAGAAAAATCGTGTTTTGTTTTGACATGAAGAAATCTTTAATCCGTTTTATCGCAAATTTTAATTAAACCTCGAGGACATAGCGGTAATATCCTGGTAACCCACTTGGGCTCGCCGCGAATGAGTTCGAAGAAACCTAATTTTCGAGATAATCGACAGGTGATAAGAGCTTCAAGGCAGCCAACACGCCGCTATTTCTCTACAATAGTTATCGAGCTATTTAGATACTGCAATGGGCGGCAGAGATGATATTGCGCAAGTACCATTTTATAAATTTGTTGCAAGATATTGTGTAATCCGTAAACGGTAATATCATGCTTTATGATTATTTTCAACAAATTTTATGTTGATAAAAATTATAAAAACTAGTTTGGATAAAGATTTATTTGAATTTATGTTTATCATAATATTTATATTTTTCCATTATATTCGATAGAATGAAACAATTCTACTATAACTTTTAATTGCATTAAAAAGCATTTCACGTTAATTCAATAAAAAAATTGTATAGCAAACGTTATATCATTTTCGGAATAAATCAAATTTACAATTGTCATGCATGTATACTATTTTGCATTTAATATATGTAAAATGTAAAGCAATTGCACAAATAATTTATCGTGAAATGTTCAGTTTTTTAATAAAATATAATACGGAAGCATATATCTATGTTGAGTGTGTGAATCAGTATAAATATAAGCTAACAAATACGTAGGTATTTACTCTTTCTTTTTATAAATGTGAAACATTTTCAAAACCGACAGGCAAGATGCTACACAGAAAATTGCTTATATTTAACGATTGGTTGTTAATTAGTTATCAAATTTCTTTGTACTTTAAGTACCAGTTAAGATATTCATAGAGCAAAATGATAAACGAAGATATTAAATAAATATAATTTTATTACAATTTAGACGCTTGCGATTTCTACGAAACGAGATATCTGTTGTACAATTAAGGTTCATCAGAGTTCTCTCGTAATAGCATCGGTAAACCAATTTTACGAGAGCCATGGAAAATTTAACGCACTCTAGTCATAGCAAATTTAAAGGATGGCGATGGATATCGTTGCGTTAGTGCCGGTTGCGGATAATTACGCTCTTAGGTTGTAACGGTATTCAGCTATCACGTCCCTACGATAATAACTCCCACGTTCATCTGACCCTTAGGCTCAATATATCGCGCGCGATTATAGGTATAACGATCAATAATAATTCCGTTGCCGTTTGTTATATCGTTCTTATTTATTCGAAATCCTTGATGACATTATATGGTTTTATTAAATCGGACGTTCGAAAAGAAAGAGCTTTTTAATTAATTTTGACAAGCGAGAATATTCGTATAAAGAGTTTGGATAATAAAGAGCTACTAATAAGGAGCTATTAATATCACGCATTCAACGATCGCCTTCCCTTTTACATCATCTATCCTTATTTCGAATGATTGTTAGAAATGTATTTCGAATTATTTGAAATCTCAAGCATATCTAATTAATTTGTTTATATATATATAGTTAATAATATATATTTATATATATAGTATTATGTATAATAATTATATATAGTATTATGTATAATATGTGTTTATATATAGTAAATCTTCGCTCTCTCTCTCTAAAGAAAAAAACATGATATTTTCTTGATCGTAGGATGATCTCATCGTTAAAACGATTTCGTAAATACATTACGAAATTTGTTGTGTGATTCATTTTGGCCAGAACTGGGACGAGTCATTTTGGCGCCCGAGGCAAAAGAAAAAATGCTACCCTTAAATAAAAAAATATTTTTTTACAATAAAATATGATAAAAAAAATAATATTAAAATTATAAAATCAAAGTGTATATGTAGTAAGCTATCAGTATATCAAAGCACGAAAAGTATTACTCTATACGAAAAGATAAATTTTCTGTGAATTTTTACAGGAATGTATACTAATAAGTTTATATGTTAAGTCTCGTAAAAACTCACAAGAAAAATTTATGTTTTCGCTCAAAGTAATACTTTTTGTACTTTAATAATTGCAAAATTGTCAATTATTTTATCAAAATTTGTATTCTTAAATAATATTATATTTTATTTTTATTTAACGTACCACGAGCGTTCAACGATGGGCAATCATAATCACAGTTAGTAGTAAATGAATTAATAAAATATATAAAAATTTATATTGCCATTTTTGGGCCATCAAGTTTTTTATATGAGACAAGTATAATTATAGATGCGTCCATTAATTGAATTAAAAGTTCCCATTATATAATATATTCACATTATACATATATTCTTAAACGCGTGCGCGCGAGTAGAATATTATTTTTCAATAGTAGGTAATTTACTTGCGTAGAAATTGCAAAAGAAATTAAATTTTTTTCATATTGAATAGAGTAGGTACTCAATAAACTAGTAAAAATGAAATTCTGATGAATTTCTACCTATGCCCAGTTTTTGTATTTGATTAGTGTCTTCATTATAATATTACGAATAACAAAATTGTATAATTTTCGACATATTTTAAACTTTCTTCTTTCTTGAAAATCTCATAGAAAGATTTGTGTTCTTACAAGATAGAAAAAACATATTTTATATCACTGAAAGTATAACAAAAAATACTATTATATCAAAAAATGCTATCATATATTGTATAAGTACTTAACCTGTAGTTATTAAGTCTGTTATTCGTAATATTATTATAATAATGGGCATAGCATAATAACTTTCTAACGATTTAATAATTTAAGCAATATCCATCTTAATCTAAAAATCTAGGATAGCAAAGAACAACAGTTCGTTTGTTAGCGATATCTGTCAAAGTGAAAATTATAATATGCAAGTAATGCAAAATATATGAACATAAATATATTATGATTTTATAAAATTTGTATACTCGACTAACTAATAAAACAGAAACAATTCTGTGATTTTAAAAAACGCAAAAAAAAAGAGACCATAAATTCGATGATAGAAAAGCCAAAAGTATAAAAACAAATTTTAAAATTTAATTTTAAACGTACCTTGTATGGACAGCTTGCTACCGGCACATGAGATGTGCAGGTGTATACGACCACGTCTTTCGGTGTGATCGCATCCACATAGATTCGGCACGCTCTCCTCGCATCTCTTGTGCACGTTCATGTCGCATGCTACATCATCAGATTATCATCGATTATATCACCATCGGTTATTATCGATCTCTGTTTCTCTTTAGATTGCCGCGAAAAATTAATTCGTTCTTTCATTAATTCCCAGTCGACCAATAAAATCGCAGCTGTCGCTCGAACTATAAGGGGCTGCTCATCTGCCCTTTTTAAATATTCTTAAATCAGCGATATAGCTTCCAATATCTTAAGAACTTAAAAGTTTTCGAGCGCAGCTGCGGTTACACATACGTACACGTGGGAGATTCATGGATTAGGGAAATAAATGAGCTATTTATTTTGAAAGCGTTGCATTATGTTTCAAAGAGACAGTTCGAATATATTATATATATATATATATATATATACATGTTTTAAAGTCGACTTCTAAGAAATATAATTTAAGAATTATGTAAATTTATACCTAAACAATAAAACAAAAACTGCTATCATTTCTACCACAAAAATAATCTTTGTGTTTATTCGTCGCAATAAAAATACAACGAAATTCTCAAATATCGTTTTTCATGTTAAAAATATCGATTTATAGCACTATATACGATTATAGCATTACATTGATTATTGCGTTATTTTTGCTAAAATTGCTTTCAAAATAATTCGCTCGAACATATAGAAATTGAATAACTAGATGATTTATATTCTAAAATATGGGAAAGACGTTCGTTTTTCTTATGTTGATGAGAATAATATGTATAAGCATTCAATGCGAAATGGATGGAAAAGCAGAAGGAATCACAAATTTAAAAGTCATAACCCAGCACAAGAGTACAGTGACGATGCGAGAGTGATTGCTTCCTGGCAACTTGAAGAGTTTGTGAAAAAATTGAAATACAACAAATCGAGCTCTTATGAAAATGTGATTCGCTCCCCGATTCCATTCATCTGATTTTATTACGTATCGAAATTATTCAACGATAAAAGTAAAATCATTTTGGGATATTGTACGTTGTGAAGGAAAAAATAAATTCTTTCGTATAAGTTATGAGTATGATCGTTTCTTATATAAAAAGGTACATTCCCACGCGTACGTATGTAAAATATTTTACAAGATCTCTCACACTATTTGCCGGAGATCTCTATGAATGTAATGAAAGGTCCCAATGGTAAATAGTGACGTGTATGACTGTGTACAAATGCATGTCAACGAAAAGCGAACTGCGGGTAACACGAATGATAATCACGCAAGTGGTATCAACACATAGTGTGCAATCAGAGGTTCGCATGTCTACTGGGGAAAGGTGTACGATTACTTGAATTCACGCGCTCGCTGAATGCTATAAATCTACGTGAATGTAATATATATATAAAGATTACATGCATGCACGACAATCATTGTTCTTGTGTGTACGTATCTGTGTGTGTGTCTGTGTATGTGTATACATATGTATGTGAATTCGTATATATCGTGCATTAGTGCGTAAAACATAAAAATACGTACATACAGTGAATTTACAATATTTATACATAAAGACATAATATCACGATCTTCTTTTCTCTACACCTTCTTTTACACTGATATTACTAGATATTTCATTTCACAAGTTTAATTATTTCATAGATTAAGTTTCAAAAAGTTATAAGCAATATAACAAAAAAAGACGCTAAAAAAGACGATAAAACATCAACTAACGTAAATTCTTTAATAAGTAAACGCCGCTAGATGTACGCAAATAAAGAAAGTTTCGTTATTCATTTAAACTTAAAGACTTTATCTTCTTGAACTTTTAACTTAAGATTTAATTACCAAGGTAACATTTGCGTTAAAAATTAAAAACTTAAATGTGAATGAACTCCTTTGGAAATTTTTGAAAAAAATCGATTTCAAAACTGTCGAAGAAATTATTCAACTATTGCTACAATTAAAATCAGAGGAGATTTAGGAATAATTCGTAACAAATTTAATTAATCCAATTAAATATCATTTACTGAGAATTTCACTGTATGCACGCGTACATATCATTATGTACAATCGCAATTCATACTACATTAATTACGTAATTACACCATTTTAATAGTCATAATAATAATAATAATAATTACTCGTCCAAGAGAGTGCTGCGTTAAATGGTGTATATATACAATCTATACATATGTAATACACTGGTAGAGATGCGTGTGACGGCGCATCGGTGGGACCGTATGAATAAGCGACGAGTGAATAGGCGAAGAATGGAGAGTGGTATATTAAAATACGTTTCTGCTTGCGCTTTGTCGTCGGAGATAGGCACAAGACGGTCACCGTCCAGTGAGAACGAGGAGGAAACCGAGCAGCGCGTAGCAGCAATACGATATTAATTATGTGTAGTACAGTCATGTGATAACACAATCAAAAATGCACCAAGGTTAAAGGTATACCTACATAAGATCAATAAGGATTACGTTAACGTTTTATTCTATTACCGTTGGACAGGTGTAAATTATTGTATGTATACTGTGTTCCAAGTACATTATACTCGTTCAAATTACAAAGTGATACAGTCATCGATTAGGTTTCCTTACAGTTGAGTGATCGTACGGAAGATGTTTCATGCAGTTAAGAATGTCCCTAAGCAGGGGAGGATTCCTGATGAGATGTGGATGTGTTTCGCCTTATATTTCCGAAAGAAAACATAGAACGTGGGACGTATCTCATCGCGTCACCGTGACGCCTGGTGTACGTTTCCGTGCCACTGTCGTCGCGTGTAAAATTCACGGCGAAATACATCAGTGTCGCCCGGTACACGTTTTCTGTGTCAGTCGACGTGTAATCGTGCATCTCGCGCGTCGTCCGGAAGCTTTTCCACAAAGCTCGTAAAGCGAAAGGCGACGGTGAGAGATAGCGAGCTACAAGAGCTTCGAATGTAAGGTGATGAGTTTTCTCGATTCTCGATGGTAGGAGGATGCTTCTTTCGAGTGCATCGAGAAGGATGATTACGCGGTTTAAAGCCCGTGTAAAACCCGTGACGCAAATGTCGAAGCGCAAAAAGTGAATCACACTTAAGTCAAGCACCCTGGTTTTTAAAGTGAGATCTGCAGGCGTTTAAGATAGTAAGCGGTACAATTGTATGCGTTCCATATTTTTCAAGATGCTCTCAAATTTAAATTCACATATCGTATTATTCCAATCAATGCTGAAAACGATACGATATTAGAAAATTCGAATGTTTATGCTGTAAAAATTTACAGAAATGATCTTTAAGTTTATTTATGATAATTGAAGTTATCATCGAAGATATCCATCGGAAATTGTACCTTACATTTCAAATTATGACTAAAAAATTATGAATTAAATGGTTTAAAAATATTACGTTTATTCTTTCTCCGCTAAACATATATTTTAAATATATCAATATTTATATTTAGGTAAAAACTAATGATTTTTATAATATATATTTTTATTTCATTCTTAACAAAAATTAAAAACATTCTTAAATTAAAAATACGAAGCTTTGACAGCTTTAATCGAATCCTGCGAAAGAAGAATGAGCAATCTAATTAATTTCTTAAACTTCGATTTGTTTCAATTTGCACGGAACAATTAAAAAATGGATAATTAAGGGAAAAAATAATTAGTATTATGTATTGTTTTTGTTAAATTTAAAAGGCGTAACTTCATTTTCATGAAAGATATAATTTTTATGAAAAAAGTATGTACACAATATATTTTCTATCACACTATAAATATCTCTCATTTCTTTGTCGATTCTTGAATGGTTTCTGTTAACAAAGTTAGCGATAAAAACAATTGACTATATTCGTTGGGTTTCCGCGCTCGTATTCCATAATTAAATTTCTATAATCAAATTGATTGCTCCGATAAATCAAGCCAGACTCTTCTATTTGTTAAATATACAATATATAGGAAATCCCTACAGTTTCATCACATATTGTCATTAATCATAGCATTATTTGCACGTATACATTGCTTCCATCGTGACATATGTATTCGCAATTATAAGTGAAATTTGTATTCGCGATGTATATAATTCAAATAAAAGACCGTTGCATCGCAATTTTAGAACGCTTTGCTTGGTGACCTAAACACGACAAAAGCGATAAAAACATATGCCGTTTTCTAGGCGAGCTATACGTGTGTTATTACCTTGAGGTGCTAGGTAAATAACGTTCGTCTCGTGGAATTTATTCGACTTTCAACAGTCGTAACGACACAAAGACTATTGCAACCGCGAAAACGAGAAATTAGAGAGAAATTCGTGAAAATACAGAGCAACGCGAGTTATATAATCAGTAATAATTCTGGAAGAAACCTTTATTATAAAAACCTGTTTTATAAAAAAAGGTTGTACAACATATATTGAAAGTATATCTATAACTTTTCGGAATATTTCCAACAAAGAATATATATATATATTCTTTATATATATATATATAAAAGAATTAAAATATATATAAAAATTTAGAAAAATAAATAAAATAGTTGTATAACACGATTCGATTATATTATTATTGTGTACGATAAGAAAATATATATTTTCTAAATTTTATCAAAAATAGGTACTTCCAAAGAATTTGTATATTATGTCTATCGATTTTTTACAAATGTTGGAATTTTACGTAAGACCCGCTGCATAATTTCATGTTAGATTTTCTCAAATATTGGTGACTGGTATATAAATGTAAAACTACGCCTTGAGGCTGTATCCGTCTGTTTAAACAAAGTGATTGATCCGAGCGAGATGTTGAGCAAACGGTCTTCGCAGACACGATTCTGAATCTATCTCCGATACAAAAGCAACTGGAAATACGAAATTTCGAATCACCTGATTCGTGCATTTCCTTGTTTTTTTAAGGGATGTCACGAGTGACGAAGAAAATTCAAGAAACATTTGTTACTTCTGAAGTCGATACCGCCTTAACTGGGTTCAACTTAACATCTATTTCTGCCCAATATTCCCACGCGAACATTCGATCAATTCGTTTGACACATTTAAAATGGATTGAACTGATTTTTTTATTTCACTTAGGCTGTACTTATTTATGCTCAA